TAGGAAATGAGTTAACTCTAAACGACTGAAAGTATAGACGAGACCTTGAGAACTTGTATCTATGGATGTGGAATTTACGAAATAAATGTCAGTTGGTTGTACACCAACAACCTTTCTGATTTTTATTAGCATAATCTAATAAAACATCTCTAGCTTCAAGTTTGATGGAGAAGTTGGTTTTTTGGCAAGAGGATCTACACATTCCCAAAGAGTTGCTGAGCACTGACATTCATAAAACAACTTAGATCGTTTCATCGTCAGTCTTTGATCAATCTTTATAAAACTGGATAGCATTTTATTTTATGTTTCATTAATATTGAGAACTATTTTGTGATTTCGTTGAGAATAATAGATTTATAATGACTGAACTGTACTGTTTTCAAATCGTTCGCTCATGACGTCAGGACGCACGTCTCGGACACGCCCCCTCGCTGGGAGGAAAGGGACATGCGCGGGCGCGCTGCTTCCTGCTCGGCTGCTTCTCCTCGGTCTGTCTGTGTTGATAGCGGCTCCTGCTCCCACACGTGCGGTGCTTCATATGTGAATCTCTCTCCTCTGAACCCGGCCACAGATTCATCCTGCTCCGTCACATCAGGTAAACCAGCCGCTGACTGTTTGGAGTTCGTGCCTCTGCGCAGCCGCTTCTCCCGGCGGGGGCAGAGGCTACGGTCCCTGGAAGTTTAGCCGGGTTGGCTGCTGCTAGCTTCGCGATGTTAGCTAGCTGCTGCCGATGCGTCTACTTTTTGTTGTGGTGTCGCTAACTGTAGCTAGCTAGCGACTATAGCTAGCCTGCTTACCAAACGCAGCCGAAGTGCGACACACGCTCTGTGTGATATGTGTTTCTTTGCACGTGAAGCAAACATGTGATGTTTCCATTGTGTCGTCCTCTCCAGGTGCAAAGCCATTCAATCCAATAACCATGGGGGCTTATCTGTCGCAGCCTAACACGGCCAAGACCTCTTCCGATGGCGGCAACAGCAACATGAGCTACGGCTACTCTGCTATGCAGGGCTGGCGTGTCTCCATGGAGGTAAGGCGGACAAAAGAGGGACCGCATCAAAAGACAACCATGTTGCTGCCTTGTGTCCTGAGGAGAGGATCAGTGTGCAAATGTAAATGGCGGGATGAATGCATGTGAGGCTGTTCTCTGCGTAGCTTCGGTTTGGAAGCAGCTGGTTGGTGTCTCTCCAGAGTTCACACTCCTCAACCAGCTCCTCTCTCCCCATCCACTGCAGTGATGATTAAAATCCACAATTCATCCTCGGGGTGTTTTTAGCTGAGTTACATTACAATCGCTCCGACAGTATCCAACAGTGTGTAGCTGCTGTTAGCTCAGTGACTCACTTGTGATGAAAGACCCTGTGTCTTTGTTTGTTCATCACACACATGTTTAATCATGTATGAGCCATTTGTATGTACATGCATCGACTATCAACTTAATAAAGTAGGGTGAAAAATTCTAAGTACATTCATGTACGTAAATAAGTCCAAAGACACGTATGAACATGACTAACTGAAGATTGCACTCGAGCACATTGGAATTGTAACCCCTGCTTAGAAGCTATTGGGTAAAATGTTCATCTTAAATTATACTAAAGCTGTCTAACAACTGTAGAGGAGTAGAAAGTACTTTTCCCCTGTGAAACGTAGTTAGGTAAGTGGAAATATCCAAGTTAATTGCAAGTACTGCAAAACTACTTGAGTAAATTAAGTCAGTTACTTTCCACCACTGGGGAATGCACATGTTTTCTAGTGGGGTTTAACAGGATCTTAAAAAGTCTAAAGCTGAACAATCTGTACTTTGGACCTTAGATTGTCTTCCATTGCATTTCAAAATTAGTGTTTTATTAAGTAAAAATTGTTGGCTTAGTATGTAGCTCTCAACGATACAGATATTAGTATTTGTAATAAAAATAATACCAGTGTGATAACTGACAAACACCCTAGTCATTGACTACGGAAACCTGCTGTTTCTGTCTGTAGTTTAAGAGATAACCTGGCACTTTGAGGGTTATTCTCTACTAATCTACTTTTATTTTTCAATTATGACAAAGTGTAACTAATTCTGTGACTCTGATAGTCCTTCATATGCGTCATACTTCACACAGGTAAAAAAAAAATAGGTACATGTTAATTCATTATGGCTGTGAAGGCGTTCCATCTCTCATTACACTGGAACATAGAATGCATGTCTCAGACACCCCCCCTTTTAGGGATGAATGGAACATCTACTTTTTGTCGTCTTATCCCCTCTCACCCACTTCCAAAATGTACAAGTTGCTTCCTTGATCACAAGGGGAATTTTGGTTTCCATTTTTGTCTTTGTTGTGTCACAGGATGCTCACAACTGTATTCCAGAGTTTGATGAGGAGACCGCCATGTTCGCAGTATATGACGGACACGGAGGTAAGATAATTATACTATTTATAGTATTTTGTAGAAAATGTTTACCCTTTTATAGCATTTATTTGCTAAACATCAACACTTGCCCTTTTCATAACATTGGTAGTGCACGATACACAAAACTGTTTCCATAACAAACTCCTGTCAGAGATAAGGATGTCCTTTTTGATTTTTTTTTTTTCTTTAGTGTTCAATTAGTTTCTCTTCATTGTTTGTTTGACACACCCCTCTGAGTATGGTGTGCAAACACACCTACTCTGAGAATTTATACAACCTGCTGTTCCCATTTAGGTGAAGAGGTGGCTCTCTACTGTTCAAAGTACCTTCCTGACATCATCAAGGAGCAGAAGACTTACAAAGATGGCAAACTGCAAAAGGTGAGATCCTGTAGAAGCCCTAGATTCTCATGACCAGAGGTGTGCTACTCTACTCTGCCATAGATATGGTTCACATGCATTAGAAACAGTGTATCTCGAGAGTGTGGTCATCTTTATTTTTTGGATTTACAGTCCAGACACATTCACAGCAGCCTCTGAATAGATCTGCAACATGAATCAGAGTCAGTTTTTCAATTACCTGACCCGGGGCAGGATTCTGATATGAATCTCATTTATCTTAACCCCAATGTTGCACTGTGCTACTTGACATTGACCGACAAATACTTCTGCTTGTTTCCAGGCACTGGAAGACGCCTTCCTGGCTATCGACAGCAGAATAACCACAGAGGAAGTCGTCAAGGAGCTGATCCAGATCGCTGGACGACCCACACAGGAGCCGCCCGCTGAAAAGGTGTCAGAGGAGGATGATTGTGAGTAAGCCATTTATAACATTTATGTGGTATTGTTTGGTGGGGATGTCAGTTGTAAGGTATAAACTTGGGAATGTCCAGTATAATAAAATAGGAAAGAAAAATGCCATGACAAAGATGTAAAATGAAACATAACAAACCTTAGTTGTACACACAGATTGGAATGATAACTCCTGAGTCAGTTCCACTTTGCTTTCAGTGGACACAGAGGAGGCAGCCTTGCTTCACGAGGAGGCTACAATGACCATAGAGGAGCTGCTGGTTCGCTACGGCCAGAACCGCAACGCTGTCAAACATGCTGCCCTCAGGTAGACCAACAAACTTTTTTACGCAGGACTTTGTGGCAATTATGTACTGTGGCTTCAACATTCATTCAGTTACGTCAATGGAGTCCTCATGCAAGTCCACACAATCACTATAAAGTTTTTATCACCTCCTGTGCATTTAACTGACCCTGTTGTTGACATAAAAACACAATGACAGCATCTGACAACACCTCTTTGGACAGAGGATGTTTGTATATAATCTATAAGTTTTAATGATAGTGATCCATATCAGGCTTTCTATTTGTAGTTGAGACGCCATGTTGAATGTTGTGGTAAACTGCTGCTGATTTTTTTTGACAACTTCGACATGAAAATTAAAAATGGGAGAGCCCCAATATATTAATCTAGTAAGGCACCTGGATCGTCCAGCTGGAGAGATGCCGATTCTGATACCTCTGCTATTAACTCTTTATGTGGTGTGAATAGATTCTCTACCAGAATATCCTGGATGTTGTAACTTAGTTCACTGTTATCTTAGTAGTTGAGTAATACAACAGTTTAGATTTTAAGAGTCATGTTGCTTACCCCTCTTTCCTCTTGGTGTTTTGTTCTAGTGCGGCTGCTAAGAAGGCGTCCTGCCCACAGCCCGAGGCCTCTGGAGACAAAGTGGTAGGTGGGGAAGGACCAAAGAAAGAGGGGCTTAACGGACAATTGGAGGAGGAGAGCAACGGGAAAGTGAAGCAAGGGGAAGGAGCAGCCTGTGCGTCCAAGCTGCGGGCCTGTCGGAGAACAGGGGCGGGAGAAGGCAGTGGTGCAGGTACAGGATGATGGCATGAGATGACAAAATATGTTTTGTTTATATCGTAACAAAAAAGCTTCAATATGTAAATTAGTAGGTGAGAGTAGAAAACAATGTCAGCCCTTAAACAAGTATTCAATTTGAGCACTTATTACACGCCCTCTCCTTTTTACCATTCAGTATTGCTCTCCTGTCAAACATCTTGTGTAACCATTTCTTCACCACACCAGCAGCTGACAGTGGAGAGTCTGGGAGCTCCAATGGAGAAGAAAAGGCCGGTAAGGCCGAAGGAGACGCAGGTCCTTCCTGCTCCTCTCTGCCCTCCAAGGCTGGAGGAGACTCCAAGTCCAGGTTCTTTGATGACAGTGAGGAGTCTGAGGAGGGAGAGGAAGAGGGCAGTGACGAAGAGGTGAGAGCAGGAGACCAGAATAGATTGTTGCTCTCCTGTAAAAACTCACTTAAGTTGAAAAGCATTCTTAAACTTTTTTTTTTAGGATGGTAGTGAAGAGGAAGAAGGTGACAGCAGCGAGATGGAAGAAGAGGAAGATACAGAGGAGGGCGAGGAAGACTCTGAGGAGGAAGAAGAGGAGGAAATGTGTCTACCTGGAATGGATGGCAAGGAGGAGGTGTGTACAACTGCTCTATCAGCAGTATGACTGCGGCCAACTTCATACACACAGGACATAAAGTCTTAATTATTAACGTAATGGTTGTTGTCACACAGTCTATTTTCAAGGGTGTTAATTTGCTGTTGCTGTGTGAGCTCTATAAATACCTCCCTTATACAACATACAATATGATCACAAAAATATTAGGACCACTTCCCACTGATTTTACCACTTTTAACAAGTCTTAACATTTTATGAAAGTGTTGTTTTGCATCGACAAGATAAACCTGTAACTGGTTTGAATTTTGGGTCTGATCTGAAATGTTCACTCATCATATTGGAATCTTTGTATGCAACTCTTTCTAGATGGTTTTAAAATAAACAACTCATTTGAAGCAAGAGCAATCTCTTCACCCCTGTGAATAAAGGCTATGAAACCAACAAACTTACTCTCTAATAAGTTTGGGGCATATGCAGTTGCAGATGCCAAATTTATTATAATGAGATTTTAACAGTGTCACATTTTCACAGCCTGGATCAGACAGCGGCACCACAGCCGTCGTGGCTTTGATCCGAGGGAAGCAGCTGATCGTGGCCAACGCTGGGGACTCACGCTGTGTGGTGTCTGAACGGGGTAAGTCCAAACCATTTGGAGCCAGTTTACATCAATGAAGTGCAATATATTTTAAATATATCAAAAATATCAAACTTCAGCTGAATGTCCATTTGCCCATTACAAATACATTAAGTATTATTCTGTCTCTTATTGCTGCACCATTTTATTTTGTGACCTAATCACTTTTATGTATAATGATCCATAAAGTTAAACAAATTTGATGGCAAGAATATTCAGCGATTCCCTCTCCGTTATGATGCATTTCCACATTAAAGCTTATAGTATCAGCACAGCAGAAAAAAGTGTCTGCTCTCAAGAGACGGTGCAGCCTCCAACCCTAAAAAGAAATGTTATGTACATACCATAAGAATCTTAAAATCAGTTAATTTACTTATTCTTATCAGTTGATCCAGTGATGTTACTGGACTACAGCCGATCTGATATGCGTGGTAGATCTTTGAGTTTAAGGCTTTGCTGTTATCTTGTATGTAACATAAACACTCCGTTCCTACGGTGCTGTAGGAAAAGCTGTCGACATGTCTTATGACCACAAACCAGAGGATGAGTTGGAACTGGCTCGCATCAAAAATGCTGGAGGGAAAGTGACCATGGATGGACGCGTCAACGGAGGATTGAACTTGTCCAGAGCTATCGGTACGGCTGAGTTGGTGTTTTACTCTCTGACTACTCACATGAGGAGCAATAGAATTAAACTCAGTCCTCTTTGTCAATACAGTTACCTCCTGTTTTAAGTTCAAAGCACAATGTCATCTTTTCCTCCTTTGATATGATCACGTTCATTAGCACACTGAGATTCATGTTATATATATTTATCTGGACTCTGGTTCTCAGGTGACCACTTCTACAAGAGGAACAAGACTCTGTCTCCAGAGGAGCAGATGATTTCTTCGATGCCGGACGTCAAAGTTCTGACCCTTAACGAGGAGCACGACTTCATGGTCATCGCCTGCGACGGCATCTGGTGAGTAGCAGTGGTGGCATAAGTGAGGCCCAGTACTAAAAAGAAGTGATTTCTAGGAAAAGAGAATTGCAGTTCTGTCTGGGTGAAACTACTTTACTGTTAAGACGTAACGGTTCATAGATTTGCTTTCTCGCTGGTGTCACGCTCTGCCTTTTCGACGGTATCAGAGGCATTTCTGGTGCTGGTATCAGCACATCTACAACTAGAAGTTATTCCCTAACCACGTCCCTGCCTGCACACTCGTGTGAGGCTGATATTTGTTCCAAAGTCTTGATTTTATAAGGTCATTAGGCACAATGAAAGAGTTTTTGTAGCTGATAATTACTTAACATGCTTGAGGCTTTTTTTCCTTTTGATTTGTCACTCACCTGTTAATGCGCTTCGTTTGTGTGCAGGAATGTGTTGAGCAGTCAGGAGGTGGTGGACTTCATCAGTGAGAGGATCAAACTGGACCAGAGTGGCAAGGCCAGACCACTCTCATCTATTGTGGAAGAGGTGAAAAAGTTTCCCTTACACACTTGTATATAAATCATATCTGTAGCTTGCCTCAGAGCCCAGCAATCAAAGTAATAGACATGGAAACAGACATGGGTGTTTACATGGCTAAAATTTGCTGAAATTCTACCAATCACTAATATTTAATCTACAACTAATATGTAGTCATTGTACTATCTAGCTGATAGCTTAAATTGACTCTAAATACCATGTGTCCTCCTGACAGCTGGTGGACCACTGTTTGGCCCCAGACACATCTGGAGACGGGACAGGATGTGACAACATGACTTGCATCCTCATCACCTTCCTGCCACACCCATCAGATGACACAAAGAAGAGGAAGCACCCGGAAGAGGCAGAAGGGACCGAGCCCGAGGAGAACGGAAATGACAGCAAAAAGGCTAAAAGTGATTAGAGGAAAAAAGAAACTGTCGACAGGAGAGCAGCTGGTCCCAGACTACCCCAGATACACCAGAGACACATTCTGTTTAAAATTAAATCCTTACCTCACAAACAAAGAATTTGCCCCAAGACAGAAATCCCAACTTCTATATGTTTGCTCAAAGAACAGCTGAACAACGATCATCAGTATAGTTCTTATCATCTGTTTTAGGTGGATTCTCACTTTCACACCCCTCCAGTCGTTCCTTTTGTTTGGTTTTGGTGGAAAGAAGCTGGACACAGTTAAACCCCTTAAATCTAGAACAGTCGGACTGAATACTGCATCACTCACCATGAATTTATTACTGTCTAACTTGGCTTCATGCAAAGGTAACATTAGAAAAATGGTCGATTCAGAGGATTTTACTGTCCTTTGTCGCCCAGATTAAAGCTTCATGATGCCATGGGACTGTGAATGTGAGTCTAGTGTTGCACTGAATGTGTTGACCTCCTCCGTTCCATGCTACATCCAAACTAGTATGTTTTTTTCCTATTTTGAATTTTCAAGCCCCTAAATAGAAACTTTTGTAAACTGTACGCCCAAAATATATTTAACTCCATTGCATTTAAAAACGTAGACTTAAAAAAATGATGGCACAGATGTTAGCACGCTCGCTTACTGATTGGATGTTATCATTCACAAAGTATCCTCCCCTGAGTCATCACGCTCTTATCACGTAACCTTTTTCCTGAACAAAACAAACTGCAACAGCCTCGATCACCAGTGGCGTGTGCAACTTGGATGTTTAATACCTGCAACAGTTCCACCTCGTCAGTTCAAGTGAAGAGATCACTTGTCAAACTCAGACGATGTGCTTCCTGTCTGCACTGGTACACGCATGCTCAGTGTATGGGACTGGTCATGTGATTTTCAGGCGTGTATGTATGGACTGAGATCATTTTGGTTTTGAGTTGAAAACATATTATCATGGATGTACACCAGGCTCATCTCTGATAGTTATCTCACAGAGAAGAACTTAACGATGTTTAGGTTCTGGTCCAGTTTCTTTACTTCAACATTTATACATTTTTCTTTCCATTAGCACACATTGGTTTTTTTGTCTCGCTGGTCACATAATCTCCCAGAACTTCACCATTATCCTGCCTTTCTTTTGATTCCTGCTTTGTGTCTTGTCTTGATCAAAAATCTGTAAATTTTCAGACGGCGAAAAGATGTCATGGTTTTGGGAACGAGTGTATTTTCATCTATAAGAGATGATAGCATGGAAACGGAGGCAAGCCTTAGGTGTCTCTCCAGAGAGAGGTGTTGATAGAAGCCAAGAACGAGCCCTCAACACGCAGCTCGTCTCCAGGACTCTACCTTCCTCCACCCAGTCACTCTCTCTGTCCCGTTTCCCTTCTTACACCTTTTAAAGACTATCTCTTGAACATGTGTTTTATTTAAACCGTATTTCCACTCAAATGTTCATATATTTCATTTTGGATGAATTAGTCCTTTGGCAGTTTTTAAAAATAATCCTTTTTGTGAGCACACTCTTGAAATGTCTTGACCCTGGACTGCGGAGAGAATGCACAAGGTTCATTTTTTGAGTGGAAATACAATTTGAATTTCTGAGCACCAAGACAGTGTAACTGTTAAAAGAAATTTCTTTATTTTCAGAAGCCTCATTTACAACCATGTCATGTGACTGTAAGTTTGTTTCTAGTGTTCTATCTCGTCACCATGCCCTTTTTTCTGTACATAGTTTTTTCAATACTTGTAATTGGAGAAAAAGAAAATGCTTTTTCTTTGTAATTGTGAGTCAATGTGACATTTTGGTGCATACTCTTTTGACACCAGTATGTAAGTACATACAAATACATTTTTTTAAATAATGCGACAACTGTGGTCCTTTGTGTTTCTTTAACAGCAACAACCGGTGTCTTTTAAAAAAAAAATTTCAGCCACATTTTTATTTGTGAATCAGTTTTTGTAAATGTGATTAATGCTAAAGTAACATTTTTCACACGCAATTTGTTGCTTAAATTCTGTAATAACATAATTTAGACCCCACATAAGATGAATAAAACAGACACATATCTGCAACACAAATCAATGAATACATATGAAGGTAACTTGGGCTCAGGAGCAGGCCCACACTTTATCCACACGTCATCGCCTGTCAAGTCTACATTTAGCTGGTCAACCCATCACACGTTCAGATTTCACTACCCAACCTTCCACTTCTTTCGTGCGCCCTTTTAACTCGTCAATTCCTCAACCCCTACTTGCATCCCTTCATCCTCCTTCCCTCATCCCTACCCACTTAGTTGGGTCAGATTGTTGAAGCCACTGTAACCTGTGAAATATGTTGATCTACCAAGAATGGATAGAGATGGCTGTTCATTTGGAGTGGATAATCCAGTAATCGTCACATATGTGAACCTCATGGTGGAGCTGTGTGGCACTACAGAGCTGTTTTGACAAACTGCTGATGTAGGACAACAGACCATCCTGTAGATAGCAGCAAAGGCATTGTATCTGTCACCCTGGTGCTTTCATACATTGAATCACAATTCCATATGGAGAGAGTTGTAACCATGTGCCATTAAAGTCAGTAAAAAGTCAGGTGAGTTTCACCCCAACCAGAGAGAAGAGCTGATCTCATTGGGCTCTCACACACACGCATAATCTATTCCCTAGCCCCCCACACAACTGAATGCCTAACGAATTGTTAACCGCTAAAACAACCCTTTGAATTTGCAGCAACCAGACAAATCGCCTTCATAAAGTCAAACTGTCCTCACTTTGATGGTATTGAACCACAGTTGGCCCTGAATACTATAGATTCATAATCAATGTAAGTCAATGTATTGTCCTAAAGTCATGGAGACACAACTGTGTGTGTTAGGGTTAGGGTTGCAATTAGGGTTAGGGTTGCAGCCAGGGTTAGGGTTAGGGTTGGGGATG